TCGCGCAGGCCTAGTGTGAGAGCAGTCATGGCCTGGCTTTTATTCCAGCTGTTCGCCTTCATAACAGCCTCGAACTGGATTTTGTAGGCCGACCAGAAAGAAGTCCCATCGAACGGCGGCACTTTGAATTAACGTAGCGGAGGTGTTGTAGCTACTACGGGAGCTGTAGTTCCATTTCCAAGTTTGAGGTCGTTCAGCGTTTTCTTCACGTCAGCCAACACGTTGTCAACCCGATTATTCACATGGTTGATTCGGGTTTCATGTTCTTCGATTCGGGTTTCAGCTGCCGACAAGCGGTTGTCATGCTGAGCAACCCTATCCTTCACCTCCTTTATCTCCTTCCCGAAGGTAGCGTGAAGGTCCTTCATGAGGAGCATCTGCTCTTCCAACCGACGGGCCTATTCCTCCTGTCGGCGGGCCGTATCCTCCTGTCGGCGAGCCTATTTTTCTTGTCGACGGGCCGGTTCCTCCTGTCCGCCCCGCAGCTGCTGCAGCTTCACCATCAGAGCACCTAAGTCAGGTGCTACAGACGTAGGAGCTGCTGATGGGCCGGCCTCCGGGGCCGGCGGCTGGCCCTCAGACGTCTGCGGCGTTACACCACCAAATCGTCTCTGGTCCGTCTCCTGCTGGCGTTGACTTCGGGCACGGACACCCTCCATTTCGTCCTTAGGTAAAATCGGCATGATTTGATCCCACTTCTGGCACCAATTGTTACGAGCTTAGGGTTCGTGACAATAAAAACTGCCAATTGAATTACCAAAATTAACCCTTTAGTTCACTTTATTTCGTTCCGAAGCTTCGCTTGTCTCGCCTAATTCAATACTGCCCCAATCGCGTATTGCAGCGCCTTTAAATACACCTTTTTCACCGAAATATCCAGAATATTCAAGTAAATACCGCGCCCCAACCGACCAAGCGCCGAAATTTCTAGTGTGAGGCTTCTAGAAAGCTTAGTCCTTCAATTCGATACTAGATGGCGCTGTTGGCTGAAAGATTAGTAATGTCATTTTCTGGAAAGCTCTCCTCGCTCTGTTACCCGACACTAGATGGCGCTAGTACCAGACGTCAACTTAGGCGCGCAACAGTATCATGAATGTTTGCAGTGGTATGCTTGGGATTGGGTTTAATTTTATTAATTATAGGATCCCAAGCAGATGGCAGCACCCATCCATCTTATGTATTGAAATTTGGATGTTTTTTAATTTCAATAGCCTCGCGTATCATCCTTGGTAGGAATCGGTGTTCTTTTGCGAGGATTTGTGGTTTATCAAATCGAATGTAATGGTATAATTTCATAATTTGTAGCATAAAAAATGAAAAGTCAGCGCAAAAACACTTCGAAATCAAAAAGTTCCGTTTTAGCTGTTGGGTCAAAAATGTATTATTTTTTCCAATTCTCATTTATTTTTAGTGTAAAATGTAAATAAAAAATAGTTTTATAACATATTTCAAATAACTTGACGTTGTATTTATTTCAAATTCACACAAAAAGTTAAATATATTTGAAATATTGTTTGCAATTTCATACAAATAACAATGAACTTCGGATTTCTTTTTAATTTTTTATATTTTAATATTTAGGTATCAGAAACACATAAAACATAAAAATACACATATTTCCAAACATTTTCATATAGGTTTCTCAAAAAACAAACGTGTAGAATTTAAATTATTAGTAATTTTGTGACTAAAAGTGAAATATCTACTACTTTTATGCTTTAAAGGCTAATTTATGAATTTTATAACAATTTCTAGCAATTAAAAATAATTCTATTCGATAGTTAATACATTCAACAAGAATTCCTTAAAGTTTTATCCATAAATCTTGTCTCAAAGTGAAAATATAGCAAAATTAGCATGTTAGCAAAAAATTTACAATTCTCGCCATTTTGGTCATGAGCCAACAGGAGTATCAAATTACGTGACCTTCTGGAGGTGAAGGTAGCACTTAACATACATACGTATAAAAATTTGGACACATCGACACACCAATAAGATAGGGTCAGCTGTGCAGATTATTTATTATCTATGTTATTTAAAAATTTTTACTATACTCTATTCCAATTACGAAGTCCCTTTTGACACGTCTTAGAACGTAACTCTTCACGTTTCGCATAATTTGAAGTAATTATATATATAATAGTTATGGTTAATTCATACGAGCTTTAGAATTATTATTAATTTAAATTTTTAGAATTATTATTATTAATTCAAATTTACGACTATTTGGACGATTATAGTGTAGTTAATGTTACCTCGTAAGTATTTTAATAAAACCTGTCTAACGATGTTTCGATATTAACCGTCGAAAATATAATAGGGCATCCCCAAACAAAAACATAGTTAATATTTTCTTACCTTGAAATTGAGACTATTCAATATTGTATATCCCGTTACTATTCCATATTATATATAGTGTTCCCGCGAACCCCCCTATGATGACGGTTACAAACAGACGGCCCCCAGTCCCCGTTGGCCCCGCTATTTCTGGCTACGGTGGCGACCATGGTAACGGCAAGGCAGGAGGTGCTAAGAATCTCCGGCGGAGGTTCGGTTGCTACCGGTTTTGCTGGGATATTATAGGATTATCTGAGGTCCGAAGAGAGTGGGATGACACGACAATCCTCGATTCCGGCAACTTGTTTTATCAACTGGAGGGCAACCATCTGTCCCAAGGAAGTGTCGGATATATCGTTCACAAGTCCTTATCATCGATGTAAGGATTGAGAGTATTTCACGAGGGTTGCGTACCATATACTCAGAATCACCAAATGATATAACGCTGAAGTTCAATCAGGTTTACGCACCAACCTCGGCACATCCCGATGCGGAGGAGGAGACTTCAACGCAAAACTAGGCACAAGAGAGTACGGTGAGCTGAAGGTAGGGAAATTTAGACCAACGGAACTCAAGGGGCCAGCAGCTGGCCGACTTCATGGACAAAAGGGACTCTTTATGATGATTTTTTTCCAGTAGCGGCCCCACCGAAAGTGGACCTGGTCGAGCCCCGACGGTTCAACTAAAATAAGATTGACTTTATTATGACGACTACACGGCAACTGTTCACATCAGCTGTTACAGCGATGTTTCAGTGATCGCGAGGGTGAAAACTGGCAGCAATCACTGAATGATGACAGGCACACTGAACCTAAACGTTGAGCAGCTAGTCTGAGACCGACGAAGCTGTAAAAGCCAAATCAGAAATCAGACTAAACGTTAAGTTGGAGAGGTCATGTTTAATGAAATCAACGCTTCGTCCTCCTGGTGCTCTAATCCAAAGTCCCGAAAACTTTCAGCTCGAATTACAAAATCGTTTTCATTGCCTAGGAGACTGCAATGCAGTGGACGATTTGAAATTTGGCAGCATGCAGGCAACTGAACAGGTAGTTCCAATGCACGCGGCGGGACTTCAACTTCAATGTAGATCAGCTGATGATCATGATATGTAATCATCGTTAGAGCCACACTCAAGTGTGAGTAACAATCCGAGAACAAGTTTTATCTAACACTATTTCAATGATATTCGAGCGAGATTAGAATGGCTCTCCATAACTTTCTTTTCGCTTTCAGAAGCTCGTTAATTCCATCCTCCACGGTGGCACTACTCCGGAGGTGTTGAGCAGAAGTGCGGTGGTCTTGTTGTTCAAAAATGGCACCAACGCTCTCTTGAAGAACTACAGACCGATTTCCCTTCAGAGACTATGTGTTGTTTTCGAGAGTCATAACGAATCGTCTCTCACGCTGACTCGATGACTTCCAGTCCCCCGAACAAGCTGGTTTCCGAAAAGGTTTTAGCATCATAGACCACAAACATACTCTGCGTCAAATTGTACAGAAGACCAAGGAGTACAATCTGCCACTATTTATCACGTACGTGGACTGTGAAAAAGCCTTTGATTCCGTCGAAATTTGGGCAGTGCAGCAGTTCCTTCATCGGTGCTAAGTTGACTGTCGGTATATCGAAGTGCTGAAGTGTTTGTACAGTAGGGCTCTGATGGCTATCCGAATACAGAACCAGAGTATGAAACCTATCCAACTGCTGAGAAGTGTAAGATAGGGTGACGTTATATACCCAAACTCTTTACCGCTGTATTGGAATACGTTTTCAAGCTACTAGATTGGAAAAGACACGGTATTGACATCTATGACGAGTACGTCACTCAACTTCGATTTGCCGATTATATAGTCCTTATGGCAGAATCGCTGGAGGATCTAAGCAGTATGTTCAATGACCATTGACAAAACAAAGATCATGTGTAACATCCATATCACACCTATGCCGGTAGTTGTTGGGCGCACTAAGCTCGAAGATTTTGACGAGTACCTGACAAACAGTCCGACTAGGTAACTCCAACTTCGACTGAAAGGTCAATCGACGGATTCAACACTGCTGGACAGCTTTCGGGAAATTACGACACGTGTTCTCGTCAGGTATACCTCAAAATTCGAAAACAATAAAGTACAAAAAAAATTGTGATGACTTATTGATCTGAGACGTGGCCCTTCAAATCTGGCCGTATGAAGAAGCTAAAAGTTGCTCGGCGAGCTATGCAGAGGGCTATGTTTGGGGTTTCTTTGCGTGATAAACTTATAAATGAGGATATCCGCAGTAGAACCAGAAGATGAGCGACATAGTCAAATAGATCAGTAAGCTGAAATGGCAATGGGCGGTCCATATAGCTCGAAGAACCGACAACCGATGGGGGGAAAAAAGGTTCTCGAGTGGTACCTGAGTACCGGTAGGTGAAATCTAGGGTGATCCCCCACTAGATGGAGTGACGATCTGGTAAGACATGCAGGAAGTCGACGGATGCAGGTGGCTCAGGTCCGTGTCCCTTTGTGACATTCCTTGGAGGAGGCCTATGTTTAGCAGTAGACTTGTAAAGGACTTTAATGATGATGATTATGTCCAAAGTGTATACTAGTTGTTTTACGGTTAGTTAAGTTGTAAATGAAAAATGAATAAATAACTAGTATTAATGTCTAATTATTTGTCTTAGCAGGATGCAGCATTTGATTTGGGGCTGGAATTGATCGACTACGAGATGTACTGTGATGGAGGTTGCAAGCCGCAATTAGGTGTATCTCCAACAGCGCATCGCTCACACTCCAACTTCCATGACACAGTTTATCACCATAAAGCATACGGACCGCACAATCTTTTATCTAGTCCTTTAGAAGAAAACGCTGGTGCCTGTGAATCTCCTCCACAGCCAACCAGCCCCACACAAACATCAAAGGAATATACCCTACATAGACTAAGCGACGAGAGATCGGAAAGAAGGAGCAGGCGATTAGAAAACGTCAGAAGAACTCTTAAAGCGAGAAAATCTAGTCTTTATATGCCATTGTCAATTGCTCACTCCGGTAGACAGTCGAGGATATCTCCAGGGTCAAGAATATCTTCGCGATCTGCTCCAGCCACGCCTTGTGGTGCACTTGTGCCTAACATCCTTATATTCACGCAAAGAGTATCCACGTCAAGGTATAGTTCGCGATCTTCTCGCTTCGAAGAAGAAAACGACCCACTACTTACGGACGTTGAGAACCCACCACTATTTGATCATAAATTTTAAATATACAAAAGCTGCTTTATTTTAAACCATAATCCCAGGCAACAATGTAAGCAATTAAAAACAAAAAAAAACAATTTAAAAAAGTGATCCCATAGAGAAATAATTGTTATTGTAATTGAATGTGTCAGGGCCTAGTACTAAACCCCAATGAGGGGCCTTAAAATCCATATTGTCCATCTGTATCATTGATTTAAAATGTATGTCAATGATTTCTGTATCAATGTTTTGAACGAATTTTCCGTGCTCATTAATAGGCGGTTACCGCTACGTAGTTAGTTAATTAAATGTTGATCAAATATTACGTCTAGGTGTAAGAAGTGAGCTTGTTGGACCATTGTTCACTTGCGTTCTTATAACAATATATAAACAATTAAGGTGTAACTTTATTGTTTTATTTAAAAAGAATCCACAATATAAACTATCCAATTCTAATATTTGATAATTAACTTTTGTTTTCAAATTAAAGGCCGAATACGAAGAGAATTGGCGAAACTTTATGTATTTCTGTTCACTAGAACTTTACCTGAAGTAATTCCAAGCGTTAAAACATACTTTTGTAGGTTTTTTCGGTTCCTTCACAAGGTGTCTGCCTTTTTAAATTTTTAAAATAAGTCAATTTACCAATTTAAAAATTTGTTAAGAAATGATATCTCAAAATTATTATTTTTTTTAAAACTCAACAAAAAAGTGAATATAAGTTTAGAAAGAATTATTTTTACGTAAAAATATTTGTATTGTGATTCCGAAGGTCTTATGTGAAAGAAGTGAAAGAAGGCCTTCTTCACTTTCGACCTTTTACGTTACAATTTTTTTTATTAACATAATTCGTTTTAATTACAAACGCCTAATAGTAATATTGTATATTGCCAGATAAAAGTTTGCCGTCATAAATTACCAGGCGCTTCGATGTGTGGCGTAAGGTGACAATAGTCAGTTATGTCTGTATTGAAAATCGTTAATTTAGGGTTTACACGCGTTTAAGTGACTATAAATGTGAATAAGCGTAGGAAAAGAAATAAATATTACTTAGTGGTAAAACAAAGAGAGTTTATCGCAAGAACGCTCCTGGAATGTGGTACGTTCCACTTTGAGGCAATATTTTTTTGTATGATACTTTTTTGTTGGAGGCTGCCCAATAGGATGTATTTTTACTAATTTACATTAGAAAAATTGATTATCTATACGTTTCTGCGTGATGTGGTGAGAAACTCTAAAAATGTAAATATCACGACCGAGTCGGAAAATAATATACTTAAAAAAAAAGAGTATTGCAAGCACAGAGACCGCAAATAATGTCATAGTCAATGTATTGTCCGAAAGTATGGGGTAAGTACATAATTAAGAATCCGACATACTACGGATATTAAGTGATTGACCGGTCGAAGTAGTCTTGTGAGAATTTACATACACAGTGCCTACCCCTACTATTGGGCAAACCGGGACTTTTTAGTTTTTTTCTTTATTATTTATGCAATTTCAATTACAGCATCTTGTAAAACTCACAGGAACAAACAGTTTACAATTCAGTTACGTGAATTGTTTTACGTATGACGCAACAATTTAAAAAAAAAATCGATGTCAATTCAATATTATTTTCTTTACAGAATAACTTTACAGAACTTATAATCTATACTAATATTATAAAGAGGAAAGATTATTATTTTTGCATGTTTGTAACGAATAAAGTACAGAATTTGTCATTTGTAGGAACTAATATTTATTTATTTATTTCTTATTTATTTACTCTTTATTGTACACCAAAATACAAAACATCAAGTACAGTAAAATCTAAATTAGAATATGTACAATAGGTGGTCTTATCACTCTGAAAGTGATTTGTTCCAGACAACCTTTGCGTAGAGAACTGATGCAAACAAAAGTTAAGATAGAGGGGGGCGAAGAATATAATAAAAAAATACATACAAATAAAGATAAGTGAAAATTATATATAAAATATCATATAATAGATTAAATGAAAGGAGTACGAGAAAGGAAAAGTAATTTATCTAATAGCGTTCTAAGTAATACGATTTAATAAGACTTTTGAAAGAGTGAAGAGATTTAGCACGACGAATATGGAGAGGTAAATGCATTTGCATTTGAGCTGTTTGCGAAATTCGGAGATGTGATCATATTTGCGAAGCCCAGATATAAATCTAATGCATAAATTGTGAATGCGGTCAAGCTTATTAAGCTGCTCCTCGGTAATGTCAAGAGAGCAAATATCAGCATACTCAAGGATAGGCAGAAGTAAAGACTGGGCGAGCGTAACTTTAGTTGCTGTGGGAAGAAAATTACGTAATCTACGTAAAGAGCTTAACGCAGCAAACATTTTTCTACTGACCTCATTAACCTGTGAGTTCCAAGACATACAGGAGTCGAGATACAACCCCAGGTTTTAACCTTGTAACTTGTACTGTAAGGGATTAGAGTGCAGTCTAGTATAATAAGGGGTAGGGAAGCCCAGTAAATTTTTCCAATTAATCTGGAACTACCGATGACAATGACTTGAGTTTTCTTAGGATTAATTGTTAAACCAGAACATTTACTCCAGTTCGAAATACAAGTCAGATCAGCGTTAATAGTGTCAAATGCTTTAGACAGATCTTCAAGGGAGGACTGAATATAGATTTAGAGATCATCAGCATACAAGTGGTAGAAAGAGGACAAATTATGACTCATAGAGTTAATAAAAATTGCAAGAAGGAGAGGAGACAACACGCCACCTTGTGGTACACCTGTAGCTGTAGTAGTCCAGGTGAAAAAAACCTCTTGCACCTGAATTCGCTGTCGGCGACCAAACAAGTAACTTCGAAACCAGTCAACTACAGTTGGAGATATGTTGAGAGAGCGCAGGATGCCTAGCAAGGTATCAAAATCTACATTATTAAATGCGTTACTAAAATCAAGCAACGTGAGAATGGTAAGCTTTTGTTTCTCCATACCATACTGAATATTATCAGTGATTTGTAAAAGTGCAGTAGTCGTACTATGGCCAGGACGGAAACCGGATTGCAAAGGATTTAAAAGATTGTGTTTGAAAAGATAGGTGCTTAATTGGTTGTGTACAAGACGTTCTAGAACTTTGGAAAAGAAAAACAAAATAGAGATAGGTCTTTAATCAGAAACACTTCGACGGGATTTGACTTTTTCGGAAGAGGAACTACAAATGCGTCTTTCCAAGCTGAAGGGAAAAAAATTGAATTCAGTGAATTATTCAAGATAGAAGTGATTGTAGGTAAAAGGAGATCAATGAGAGGGATGACCATTTTCCGACTAATACAATGACTACTAATCGAATTTGAATGGATGGACATTATGGCTCTCTTAACATCACAACTGTTATATTGGCTAAAATTAAAAGCAGAGGTGTCCGGAGTGGGAGTATTATGTTTCGCTCTATCGTTAATGCAAGACGAAGTTGATAAATGCAAATTAAGTTGATTGAGATCAAAGTTATGGTGTGTGAGATTTAATATTATAAATAAGAAAGATTTAATTAAGAAGTAAGCCATGCTCTCGCTGTTATTCATTACTCTGCATACCAAACTAGCACACTCGTACGGCTAACGCACGTGATGTTCGATAGACAGCGCGCGGTTCGCCACGAAACGAACAAGGACATTCGCTTCGTATACACAGAACAGCAGGTCGTATAATCCACATGTAAGATAATTGTAGCAGAACCAGAGTGCTAACTAACAAAGCCTTTTATCTTAGATTTCCGACTCATATTAACATTAGCCGATGTTCGATTTTTGTTGTATACGTTATGGCAACGAAAATGCTTTCACACACTAGAGTTGTTCAAAACGGTGTTGTTCAAAATTGTCCGTAGGAAAACGCTAAATAAGGGTGGCGCCACTGTAACTACAGTCTAAATTTTAAAGAACTTTTTGTAATTTTTTTATTGTACAGACTTTCACCATAATTCTTTTTACAATAATTATTTTATTGCTTTATCATACCCTGTAGCTACTCGAGCGTCGTTGTGGAGAGTTTTTGAACTGTTATTTACTGCTTACAGATGGACACATTTTCAACTATTCACCTATGGGAGATTGTCCTCCTTATCTCTATACTCCATGGTACTTAGTTTGTTTGCAAACAGTTTTATAACCTATTATTTATATACAGTATACACTAACTAACCACGTATAACACCAAACTAGGTTGCGCGCGATGAAAAGCGTGCTGCTAGTACAAATTTGCGGAACACGCCCTCTCACAACAGCGTGCTCACGAGCGAGGCCATCTGCTATAGCTACTTGCCGCTCTTGCCGACGCCGCGCGCGATCGCGTGATATTCATACACCACAGCGTCTCAGCGGCGTCTTAAGCCAGATATATATGTTGGCTGAGCGAAGGCGAGTACCAACGTATAGACTCCCATTTGTCTAGCCTCGCCATGGCTCGTCGTCGCTCGACTAGCAGGTCGAGTGCTGGCGAGCACCGAAGTGTATACGGTTTGTTTGGAGTTACTCGAGATCACTCGTCACGACTCGCTCCAATTCGAAACAGTGTTTTTTTTTCTGCACAAATGAAACGCGCTCGCCTGCACTCGGCAAGTCGTGCCCACGTGTTAGTGGGCCATGTCAGTATGGTTATGATATTCACTTATTAAAACTTGGCTAAGTTGGCTGTAGACTGGCCACTAGAATGACTTGGCCATGTAGACTGTAGCACTCGCCTTGTATCAATTCACCTACGCTCGCGTTGGTTGAGGCTTGGCCAACATGTATTGCCAGCTTTACATAGCACGAGCTGTGCGCTATGGAAAAATTAGCTATAATCCGCAAATCCGTAGTTGCCACTAGACGGACTCTCTTCGGGAAAGATCGACTTTAAATACAGATCAAATAATAAGGACTACTAAACTATAATTTTTCATTCATTTGTGTTTCATTTGTGTTTGCTCCCCTTTGTTGTTATTATCTTGTTATTTTTGTCAAGTTTCTGTTATTCTGTTACATTTTTTCTTGCAGACTTTTCGTATTGTGATAGTTTGTTGATTTTTAGGGTTGGGATTACAATTCGGTCGCCTGAATTTGAAGATTCTGTCAATGTGGGGGGGTCAAGGAGGTTTATCAGAAGCACCCCCACTCGATTTTTGCTGCCGGAGCAGCGTCGAAGTATTTTAAATTATTTTATAAAAATATTGGTAAATGACTAATTAATTACGTTTTTGACGTTTCATCTGTCAATGTCATATCGATATATAGTACTGAATTGATCTAGTGAATTGATATTTCACCCTAGAGAATCGAGATCGAATCTTTTTCTGTTTCATTAAGATTTGTAAAATTATTTACAATTAGTTGAATGTATCCCAACTCGTAAAGAATGATAGTTTTTAATTCAATGTTATCTGTACTTTATTGTATCTTTTGATATTGTAAATATAAACTTTTAACGCAAATCAAAAAAAGATAGATTTTTGCGAAATCGATCTTTAAGATTTTTTGTGAATCGATTTTCGATTTGAATCGATTTAAAAATATGTAAAATTAATCACTAGGCCGGCCATTTTGTTGACAGCTTTTCATAATGCCGTTGCTTCCGAGTTTCAGAATTTTGGTGAATACTGAAATATTTGTGGCGGTAGAATACTGCTAAATATCGCAAAGATCCTTTCTTATAAATGGTGGCAGCCATAAATTATGTTTATAAATTAAAATAGTTATAAAAGTTAATATTTTGGTGTTATATCGAGTGCAATAGCGAACGAAGCGAGCCTGGGACGTGGAGCACCCCGACTCGGACAGGTTAGGTTAGAAGAGGATGACGGGGTCGAGTGAGCGACCGAAGCGAGCGAATAGACTCCGTCATCCTCTCGTGGTTATTTTTTGTAAACCACTCAGAAGTAGGAGCCGTCGACCGGACTTCCCTCGACTGCACCACGTTAAGTGGCGTGAGGCTTCCGTCCCCCAACTCTCTCACCCCACAAATCAGGTTAAAATTGTCATAAAAATTACGAAACATAACCTCAAAATGAGATTTTTAAAAATTTATAAAAAAAACTAAGCACATCCGGCAGAAAGTGGAAATAGGGGGTGACTCTACAACTCCTCCTTCTTCCCCCACTCTACCCCCCACCCCCAAATTCAGGCGACCGAATTGTAAACCTTACCCCGTGGTGCTTTTGAGCCCAACGAAAAGACCATAATTCTAAATATTTACAAATATAATATAAAAAATTTGCCGCACGCAACTGATTGGAGTGCAACGGAATGCGCTAAAAAGACTTCTGAGATGACTGGCGTGGGTCTGTCAAGTGTCTATAAAATTACCAAAGAATATAAAGACACAAAAGAGTTTCAAAAGCCGAAAAAGAGTGGAACTCAACTATCTTTCATACAAAAATTTGATGAATTTACTTTCGCTGCAAATCGACGAATGGTTCACGCATTTTTCTACAAGAACGAGATTCCGACTATTGAAAAGGTAAAGTTATTGCTAATTCTTTAACCCCTCGTTGCTGACATCCTCCATTGTTTAAACCTATGATTTAACCTGTGTTGCCTGTCTACTTTTAACTGTAATGTAAATGCTTATTTAATTTTTTTTTCATTCATCAAGAGATAGAGATCCAGACATGCCTGTTATGTCGAAATCAACATTAAGAAAAGTATTGAAGCATTTAAATTTTAAATACGCAAGTCGCAAACGTCGAAGCGCGCTAGAAGATCGCAAGAAGATAGTACTATAGTGTCAAAAATACTTGCACCAAATGAAACAATATAGAAGAGAAGGCAAGTTTATATATTACCAGGATGAAACGTAGGTAAGGCAAGTATTGAATAATGTGGTAATTAACTTATTATAACCTATTTTTTCTTCAAGGCAGTCGGCAATCAAATTCTATGCAACTGTCCCGGCCAAAATGCCCGCTTTGGCGCATCTGTCCAACCCTGAAGTTTAGAAGTAAATAGCAACCTTCTATAGGTTGTGGATAGACGCGTACTTTTTTAATAGCGACCTTTAGAAGGTTTTGGACTGACGAGAGGATGTAACACTTAAATTAACTTTGTTAATACATTTCTGTTGACAAAATGAGTAAATAAATAAAGAAATCCATATTTATAGGTAACATTTTTCAATTTACATGCATATATAACTGTCCTCATCTATTAGTGAAATATTAAATATATTTTATTTTCAGGACATACCGTCAATAAAGTGTGGTGGTGTCTCGATGGCTTGACAACAGGACTTAAGGCACCAACACATTAAATGTATAATGATTTCTTATATTTACGCGAACATTGCACATGATTAAAACTACTTTTACGGACTTTATCGCGTTTATTTTTACATTAAATGTATGTATAGACTCAGATGTTCAGAGTCGTATTGAAATTGAAAAATGTGTCCGGCATGCCAAAAAAATTATAGCAGTCAGAATTCTACGGAATGAAAAGTCAGACTGTAATTAGGTAGTTGTCACTGATATAAATTCGGAAACAGTATTATAACTAAGTACACGAATTTTTAACGTAGGACTTAATATTTTTAATTTGAAATAAGTATGAAATAATCAGACAAATAAACTTGAGTTACTACCCAACAGCCCGCTCTAGGAAGTTTGCAGTATGTCAACATGCCCATGATCGTCCCAACCATTACATCTTCGGATAGTCCGACACTGTATAACCTCAAGTTATTTTGATCGCTTAGGCATCTTATGAACTTGCGGGACTATCGTCATCGATTGGGCTGTCCCCGAATCACGAATGAAATGAAGATATGGCTTAAAAAGCACGCATCCAAGGTGAAAACCGTAAAAAAATTGACAATCTCAATCCACTATTTTCTATGCTCGAAGATCCACTTATTATACCCCTATTATACTACCCTGAATCAGGGTCCCTACATGATTCAGGGTAGTGCAATAAGAGTAAGGGAGTAAGGGTCCCTAATTAGGGCGTCAAAGTGGATCCGGTGATAAAAACATCGAAAAAATTGATATATCGTACATAGGTACATCGTTGTTTAGCAAACTACACTTTGCTAAACAACTTTGACAGTTCGTAGCGATCTAAGAAAAAGTATTTTATGAGCTTAGGATTGGTGAACTTGTTCATTTCAGTTCTTAGAACAACTAAAAATTTTATCTAAATATGTTTAATAGTCATAAGGATTATTGTATAATCTAAAACTACGTTATCGTCCTTTCTCACTCGAGGCAACGCTATTCATTAGTCTATAGGTTTCTCTGTCTACGGGCAAAAACTAATAAGAGTAAGTAAGAGGTATTTTTCTTGCTTTCTAGCTCTGGGTTCTAGCCCTTCTGAGCCTATAATTTCTTGCGGAATCTTCGTTTTTATATATTTCTTCTACACAATATGCTGATGCGTAATATTGTAAAGTTTTTGGGGGCAGAAAGTTGATGACGACAGCCACTCAAGTTCATAAGGCACCCAACTTGAGGTTTATATCAACATCAAACCACCTGTTTCGTCGTTTTCTCTAATAGTTCACACGCGCAGACACTTAATTCACAAAATCGCATCACTTTTACGAATTAAAATTTACTTCAAACCATTATTCAAGCGACAAAACAGGAGCGACAATCCGTCAACGGCCAAGTTCCCGCCAAAACTCCATAGGGGCATTAGTCTGTGACATGTCCATGAAGGTTAGAGAACAGGAGAACGATCGCCGTAGAAAATAGTGTCCCAGAAATATGGACACCATAAGTGAAGCGCTGCGATCGCTTAGTTCGCTCAGTTAAAGTCATTTTCAGTCTATTTTTCCATTCAGGTGCTAAACCATTTGCTTTCCACGCACAATAAAATATTTCTCTATTTTTTAATGATTCTTTCTGTCAAAAATCAAAAAATTACGGAGCATGAAAATTTTCTCACCAGTGCCGCGAAGAAAATTTGTACATTATTCAACTAACTTCATTTATATGTACTCATGAACAGCTAACTTCACAGCCACTACTCACCGATGTCATCACCGCTATAAATTCTATAAATTTTCAAGGACAGGTGGGCTATGCTTTAGTATGTAGCGATCGTTCTCCTGTTCTCTAACCTCCATGAAACAGACATGTTTGTACTATTAGAGTGTGGAGGTAAGGATTACAGACCGTGTATTAAAAATGTGTCCGTAAAAAACCGTTAAATAAGGGTGGCGCCACTACAGCTACGGGTTAAATTTTAAAGAACGTGCCGAAAAATATTAGTGGGATAGACGACTTTTTCGAGGTTATATTTACTAAATAAGTTTACTTTCGATTTTAGAGCTACTGAGCAGTTTAGCAGCACATTTCAAACTGTCAACAACTGCTAAGTTCATTTCGTCCCGGTAGCTACTCCAGCGCTGTTGTGGAGAGTTTTTGAACTGTTATATATTTATTGCTTACAGATGGACACTTTTTCAATTATTCTCCTATGAGAGATTGTTCTCCTTACTTCTACACTAGCTTGCTACGTATTTATTTATCTATGTTCTACACTCCATAGTTGTACTTCATGGTAGCTTGCTACATATTTATTTATCTATGGTGTCGGCCAGTTCCGATAGTGATGTACCACGCTAAGCTACGCCATGTCATAACGAACAACCATAGACTACCTAAAATCGGTTTTGAAATAAATAGAATATATAAAAATCACTTAAAATTATGCACAAGGCGAAGTAGTTATTGTGGGTGGGATATTATTATCGTATTAATAATCTATTATTAACTAAATATATAGAATATATAGAATAGAAAATGCAACTATCGATTGCAAGTTTTATGAGAATAATAATCGTAAACATTCTTTAACGATTATACATCACTCTATAGGCGTTGCAAAGATTATCCGCACGCCTCTAGTGGCGAAATTTAGAAGCTTAGACAGCTTTTGACACTTATGGATATCAAAACGGATTTGCTAATAAAAGCAGAAATACGAAATATTCTCCTCATACAATAGGAATTCATTATTCCCAAAAGACAAAATTATGAAGAAGAAATGGAAGACTGCTTTAAAATAGGCAAGCCAATTTCACCATCAATGAGAGTTTGTTCTCATCATTTTCAAGCTTCAGACTTTTTTCCAAACAGTAAGTATAATTACGTTTTAATTATTTTATTGTACATAAATTATATTTATATGTATTTCCTATGTTATTCATTTAGTTTACGCTAAGGCGAGTTTCTCGTCAGATAACGAGATTATTTATTGTTCCAGATTCTAAAAGGCAGAAGTTGTTTCCTTATGTCGTACCGTCTCAGAATATTCCTAAAAGAAGCTCTGATAAAGAAGTACCATTCGCCCAAAAAATAAAATCAATTGCTCGAGAAAATAGGGCTGATATTAGATACAGGAAAATAGTGGAATCAAATAAAGAGCTTGGACTTGCTATTGAGAATGAAGAAACTAAATTTGAAGATGGATTTGAGGACAATAATATAACTGATAACAACAGTCATCTTCATGTCATGACTTCATCGACACAAGTCAATTTAGTGGATTACAGAAATTATCGTCCCCGAGAAGATTGGAGTATAGCTGACATTCTTTGTGACAAAGAACCTTTGGAAAAGTGTACTCAAATAAATTTTCTTCCTATGTGGGAAGAGGATAGATCAGTTTTAAAGCAATTAACCCTCTCAGATTTACTCAGTAGTGATATGTATTTATTTACTTTTACGGGTATTCATTCAATAGAACTTTTAGAAACATTGGTGACTTGTGTTAGTGAATTGGCCTTAGATGCTCCAACAAATAAGAAAATGTTATCTGTAAGAGACAGAGTAATTTTGACAATGGTAAAAATTAAACAATATATGTCATTTAGAGCCATTGGTATTTTGTTTGGTATAAACAGGCAGACATGTTCTAATTATTTTAATAATATGTGCCCCATGCTGAGTAGAGTACTCAAAGTTGTTATTCCTTGGCCTGATATCGAAATGATACGTACCAACCTAAATCATTCCAAAAATATAAAAATACAAGAATTATATTAGACTGTGCTGAAACTGTGATTGAAAAATGTAAATGCTTAAAATGTAGAATATTGACATACTCTCAATATAAAAAAAACAATACAGCGAAGTTTAATATTGGAATAACTCCTTCTGGCCTTATAACTGAAATAAGTGCATCTTATGGTGGTCGAGCATCAGATAAACATATTGTAAATGAATCAGGAATCTTAAATAAATGCGAGTTTAATGATGGAGTGATGGTGGATAAAGGATACAGGATTGAATCCGAATATAATGAAGTTAGTTAAGGATATTAATTCAATAGTTAGTACAAATAACATTTGATTAATTATGCAATGTATTTACATATTAACACATTCAATCCACCGACTCGCCCGTAGAGTTCACATAAATCTTATTCCAGTGCCGACGACTCGTCTGGCGAGTTCAGTGTTTTTCACTAATATTTCCAAAATGCATCCGTATTTTCTGCTTAAAATTATAGTTTAGACTAAATATATGCTAAACTAAAGATTTACGTGGTGGGCCGGATGTGGAGACCCCGTTTAAATTTGAAAGGAAACAAACTATTCTGAAATGCCTTGAACTCGCTAGGCGAGTTCCCTGACATAGATCCTCAACCTTTGACATGTTAGACAACGACGTGAACATAGTAGCATGGACTACCTACATACTTGTGATATGGAACTAATATACAACAAACTAGTTTCATTAGAATAATTAGGATCGTGCCAAATGGAAGTCCGTAGCCTCTACCTACCTCTCTGGGTAACAGGCGTGAGTACTTATCGAAAGTCACTCTTGTTTGATTACGTATTGATATACCACCAGTTTGTAATAAAGCCTCTGTCCTAGGAAAAACTATCAAGACATTATTTTTTTTAAAACAAGCTTTAGAAATACAAAGTTATCGTAATATTTGAGGTAACATATCTAGCAGCTATATTATAAATCTTGTATCTTTGTAATAGGGTTGAAAATAAATAAAAAAGAGGTCTCCACTGCAACTCAATACAACAAGTATATAAGTCCCATCTCCAGCCACAAATGGATTGTTTGGGTCTGAGTGATTAACTTTTTTATGAGTGTATCTGTGTTAAAAAAACAAACTGACATAATATTTGCGTTCCGTTATATGTAATTTAATTAATCAAAATCAAATACCGGATGTCTAGCCAACTCGATATAACCTCAAAACTTTAACTATCGATATCTCGAAAAATAAAGATTTCCGGCATAAAAAGCAGCTAAATGGTAATCAATAGCATCATTGCCTGTCAACTAAAGCTAAAATAGTCACTTAAATCGTGCAGCAGATTACTAAAGCCGACCCAAAATTACATTTTAATCTGATACTATATTCTTAATACTATTAAACGAGCAATTCTTGTATATATATATAATCGGTATCTCGGAAACGGCTCCAACGATTTTCATAAAATTTTGTGTCCAGGGAGTTTCGGGGATAATAAATCGATCTAGCTAGGATTTATTTTTAGAAAATGTCTTTTTGTCCGTATTTTTAGGCAATGAAAAACTGCTACAATATCGTTAGAATAAGAAGGTAAATTTTGACGGATTGTTGGTGATTATATATAAATAGCTTAATTGGTATAATGGTCGGTCACAGAATCTTAAAACCCCGGTTCGAGCCCAGACCGACCGACAGACTTTTTTTAATTTTTTTTCATGTTCCTTTCTTTTTTGAGAAAATCTATTTTTTCGAGCCCTTTTTTTTAGTATTTTTTAAAAACACGAAAATTTAAATTAAAATAATTGCACTCATGATTTTTATTCAAATAACCAGTTCCGTTTTTCTGTTATGTCGCTAAGATCAAAAAATATTATTTATATTTCATCAGTATGTAATTTGTATCTAAATATAATATCCAAAACACACGAATTAAAAAAAAAATCGAGCGAAAAATACCGAGCAAAGCTCGGTCAACCAGGTATTATTCTTAAAACTGAAAGCCCGTATTAAATTATTTCAGGGTAAAATTGTCTATTCACAAGTATTAGAAATTCAAAATATAACCTTAACAATAACCACAATTTAAAAGGTTGACAACCACTGCTCAAATTACGAAACAAACTTACCTTTTATTTTATCCAAAGAGTTTTTTGCCATTTTTACAAGCCGAATAGTCCGGAAACACTTTTTAATTGCGTAAACACGTTAAGTACACTGTGACGGCCACAAAAATTACAAAACATAGAATTTACCCTTACGTAGTGCCAGTGAACTCGCGTGGCGAGTCGATCCATTTATATTGCAGTGCCGGCGACTCGCCTGGCGAGTCAACCGTAAAATGTAGTCGGAATCCGAGAAGACATCATGAAAATCGTAGGGGTGATGAATGTGTTAATGTTCTTGTTACAGCGTCTGCTTCAGCTTGTCAGGCCTCCTTTTTTGAGTCAGAAAAAGCAGATGACCAAAGAAGATGCAATCCGCACTGCAGAGATTGCACGGGCAAGAGTGCATGTTGAGAGAGTGATACAGAGATTACGACAATATAAACTTCTATGTGAACCATTACCATGATCACTGGCGCCTTATTTTGATGATATATTAATTATTGTTGGTGGTCTTACTAATTTGGGTCCACCAATTATTCACATTGATAAATTTATGTAGTAATTGAAAATTATACCTAAAAGCGAAACAAGGGAAGCTTATGAATAGGAAGGGTATTGTAAGAGTGGCAATAAATTGTTACAGTGAATAAATAATTTTGTACACAGAGTTGTATTTATTTTTATTCAAATTCAGTCATAATTTGATCCATACTCGTTAACTATTCTAGGAAGAAATTTCTCAAAATTAACATTAACAAGACATACACAAATTTCCAAAATATGATTTTCATCAAATGAAACTCTTCTTATAGCTAAATCCTTTCCTATTTCAGAGTAAACTAAATAATCACATTCTGTAATACCTGACAATAATATACCTACTTGCATTTGAGTATAATACTGAGTATTTTTTTTTCAAATTTTGATTTTTATCCAATATAGGAATTGCATTCATTTCTATAAGTTCATCTGAAGTTAGACGAGTTCCTTCCTTTAATGTCTTAATCTCAATATTTCTAAGAAAATTTCCATCTTTATCCATGGCAGTACCTTCTAGACTTGCAGAAAGCCATGGTAATTCTGGTCGAACCAGCAATCCAGACTCTAAAATCATGCAGCTATAATGCTCTGCATATAAATCTCTTGCGACTGCTTCAAAGCGAAGGCCTCTGATAGTATCTTCATTCCCAAGGAAATTACTGTGAAAAACCTCTTGATATCTTTTAACTAACTAACTGGGCCCTCGCTTTGGAGGCTGTTAGTCTTACTTTTCTAGCTTTATGCCAAGAAGGAGTACCCTGCTCAGCATTGATTATTTCTATATTTTGGTCTAATGATACAGCTACATATCTGTTGTAAAATTCAAATTCATTTACTTCACATGTCTTCAACTTTTCTTCAGTCAGTTTTCTTAATACATTCATTACCCGCCACGAATTAAAAGTCAATAGTTTTTCAGGAAATTTTGTCTTGTCTACACTTCTACTAATTACCCTTTCACCATAATCAACAACTCCATCACCTCTTCACATGAGACTTGTAAATAAAGAATATTCACTGTTTAGTGTGCCTGAAATAAACAACATAATTTTTGAAACTTCATTTTAGTTTGTAACTGTACATTCAATCTGCAAATATAATATTTTTTAACAAATTGATGTTTTCCAGGTAGGTGCCATATACTCTTATGCTTTACAAGTATTTACTCTGCATTAACTTCATTCTCCAACGACTTTCCATCTCTTCAGTGACTTCTGGCATTATTTTTATATAGATGTCCCTCTGTCCTTTCACATGGCACATTTTAGACAATGATTTTGCTTCGTATTCCTTCAATGCTGTAGTTTTAAGTGTACCCCATTGTTTCTCAATGTCGGTACAACTCAGGTCCTCCAGATCTGCCTCCTCAGTTCTGAAAAAGAGAAAAATAGCTAATCATTTACAATTATGGTCTAATTTTAGTACTTATATAGGTAAGTACTTTACATTATCTATTACCTGGCAGTAAAATTGTTACAGACAGCCAGAGTAAATTAGGTACCTACTTTAACACTTATAGTATTCATAGTGCATATGGATGAGGTAGGACAAATGGATAAAAAAGTTATTGATCAATTCACAAACCTTGAGAGATAAAGCATGACAGCTAATATGTGTTTACATTTCTCTGAAGCTCCAGCAGGGCAATCGCAGACCTTTGTGCCTTCTTGTTCATTATCACCAACTAATCTATTTCCATATTCTTGAGATACATCTATCCACAGTTTTATAATGGCTGGATGTTTGGAATTTAATCCCGACGTGCGCAGTACCAGTGCTTGTACGTGAATTATGTTATTATTTTTCTCTTTTTTTCCAACCGAAATCACCATTCCACTCCGTAATAATTCTTCACCAGAACGCATTGGTTTCGTGTATCCTGCAGACGCATTAATTACATCGATTATTGACAACATAATTATTATCTTAAACAGCACAATGCCACATAAATCTTATTTGTATTTCTTCTTCTTCTTTCTTTTGTGACGGTTTGATAAAATTCGCCAATGACGTATTGAGTAGAAAATGAAAGCTTTTGAGTTTAATTAAAATAAGAGTCTGTGATAATACAAGGATTCAGTTTTCCTCCGAGAATTTTGACAAATCTATTTGTTGAATTACCTAGAACAAATATGACAAACACAGGTGTTAAACTCTTACCCGTATGTTAAAAGTGACAAGGATTTAAAGTTTCATATTATTAGTATTAATAAAATCACATAAAATATACACAAAAGGAGTACTGGTATATGTTAAAAGAGAATTAAAATCTTAAGGAGGAAGATAATCATAAAGGGAGGAGGATAATTTGGGACAGTTGAAAAAAATATGGTTTGTGGAACCTTCATCTAAGCCACATTCACACAATGAGCTATCCCTTACTCTGATTTTTGCCAGATGTGCATGTGTACAAGCATGTCCAATTCTTAATCTACAAATGATTGAAGTTGCATGTTTATTTGCTTTGTTAAATTTAAAGAACCAAGGCTTGGGAGGAATAACCTCTTGGATGGCAGCATAGTGCTTACCTTTAACATTTTTGGAAACTTCCCATAATTTATTCCAATTTTCATTCAGTTTCCTGTTAGCTAGCAAAATTAGGTCATGTGAGTAAATTAAATTTTGTAGAATGCCATTAGCAATTGCATTTTTAGCAAGTACATCAGCTGTTTCGTTACCATGGATACCACTGTGGCCTGGAATCCAGGCCACTGAAACATGGATTCCTTTAAGATGGCATCTGAATAGGGTATTTTTTATTTTAAGAATTAGTGGAAATTTATGTTTGTTATGGAATTGATTGGACAAAATAGCTAACAAACAACTTTTTGAATCTGTGAAAATAACTATTTTATTAATATTATGTGACTGTACATATAACAAAGCTTCACTGATTGCAGTTGCTTCACCGGTAAAAGTGGAGGATAGTGAGGTGCATTTAAAGTTAAGAATGATTTTGAACTTAGGAATCCAAACAGCAGCTCCAGTATAGTCTTCATCAGACTGTTTTGAAGCGTCTGTGTACATGACAAGCCAATCTTTAAATGTGTTTTCTATAATTTCTTTTAATTTCAAATTTGCCATTGGAGAATCCTTTTCTATACCTAGATCTAGGTGAATGTCGTGTTGGTAAACAATAGCCTCGTAAGGAACATCAAAGAGTGGATTTATTTTACATTGAAAGATTGGGTAAGGAAGCTGAAGAAAAATGACAAAACTTTTAAACAAGCAGGGAGAGTCCAGTATCGGTCAGATGAGATATACTCTGAAAGAAGGTGCAATTTAGGAATTAGGGGATGATCTGAAAGCTGGCAGATCTTAAATAAGAATCTGTCTGAAAGGTATTGCCTTCTTAATCTTAAAGGAGGATCTACGCACTCAACCTGAACAACATTTATTGGTGAGGATTTCATTGCCCCTGTAATAATGCGAAGACATTTCGATTGAATTTTGTCCATTACTTTCAGGGATGATTTATTGCAAAGCTCCAACAGAAAACATCCATAGTCAAGGTGGCTTCGTATTAAAGCATTGTACAGTAATTTCTGAGAAAAAGGATGGGACCCCCACCAAACACCTGACAAAGACCGAAGAATATTTATGTTTTTTTCGCATTTTTGTGTTATATATTCAATGTATGGACCGAAGGCCAATTTCGAATCAAGGATAACTCCCAAAAATTTAACATTGCTTCTAACTGGAATAGAAAGCTTATCATATACAACAGATATATCGGGAACTCGCCTTTGGCGGGAAAAGATCACCACACTACTCTTGGCCACAGATAAAGAGAGGCCATGATTAGTTAACCATTCTTGTAAATAATCCATGGATGAGTTTAGACGGGAACATGCCACTGTGAAGTTGTTTAAGGAGATGTATAGAGCTAAATCGTCTGCATATTGAAGAACATTACAAAAAAAATTTACTGAAAGTTCTAAATTGTGAGTTTATATAGAATAAAGGAGAGGACTAAGAACTGAGCCTTGTGGAAGTCCTTTCCATATAGTTTTTGGGGGAAGCAGGAGATTTTTAACATTTATAGATATTGATCTAGAAGAGAGAAAGTTAGAGACTTAATTGACTATCCTCACTGGAATGCTCAGATTAAGCATTTTCTGCCTGAGCACAGGAAGAAGCACATTATCATATGCAGAAGAAATATCCAAGAAAACTCCTATGAGAAATTCATGTTTTGAAAAAGCAATATGAATATCTGTGACCAAAGTACTTAGGCTATCCATGGTACTTAAACCTTTTCGGAAACCGAATTGGCTTTTAGGTAAAAGATTATTCCTTTCCAAAAATCACTCCAAGCCATTTTTTATTAAATGTTCCAAGATTTTTGCCACAGTACAAGAAAGGGCAATAGGTCGGTAACTGGAAGGGTCATTGCTAGACTTACCTGGTTTGAGAATGGGCAAAATAATTTGGGTTTTCCATTCAGCAGGAGGATCACCAGTAATATAAATAAAATTTAAAATGGATAGTAAGACAGTTTTAGTGTTCTCACTACTATTAATTATAAACGAATAAGGAATCCCATCAATACCTGGTGAGGAGTCTTTAAGGCCATTGAGTACAGTAAACAATTCCTGAGAAGAAAAGGGGGGAATCAAATTTATCATTTGTTTTTAAAAAAGCAGAATTAAAAACTAGGCATTCATCATAAGATGGGACTGTTTGTGGTGCAAGTTTATTAGAGAATTCATCTATCCACAGGGAAGAATCATTAGAAATTATATTTTCACTAGAAACTGCACAGCGATATTATTTAACATTTCTCCAGACCAAAGATGGGGGAGTCCTAGGTGACAGTGACTCACAGAATTTAAACCAACCAGTTCGCTTTTTGTCTGACAGTAATTTTAAGGTTTCTGCAGCAATTTCTTTATAGGAGATATAATTCTCTGCAGTCATAGAACGGGAGTATATTAATTCAGCCTCTTTTCTTCTCCTACAAGCTGCTGAACAATCTTGGTCCCACCAAGGAGGGGAAGGATAATTATTTTTGAAAGGCTTTTTTAAGAGGATTGACTTATTAGCAGCAGAAATAATTGCATTTCTGAACTCTATATATACAGGAGCAATATTATCATTGTTAATTGGGGGAAGAGTTGAAACCTCTTGTTCCAAAACTGTAGAATATAATTGCCAATTACCTTTGGATAGATTATACTTTATTCTTGGGCAAAATGTAAAATTTATTCTAGGTGAAGTAGTAGGAGTGATGAATATAGGAAAATGGTCACTGCCATAGCTAGAAGGTAATATTTGCCACAAAAGAAGGGAAGCTATATCTGGGGAGCAGAGAGTTAGGTCAACGGCACTTCTAACATTTTGTAATGGGGATACTCGACGGATAGGAGACCCGTCATTTAGAATACAGAGATTAAAATTATCAATAAGATCTAAAAATAAGGGTGCCAGTGAATCACACAGATGGGAGCCCCAAACAGTATGATGCATATTAAAATCTCCCAAAATAACCATAGGAGGTGACAGAGAAGAAATAAGTGTTGCAAGTTCTGTTAAAACATTTACATCAGGATTAGGAATGTAAACAGAGAGAATAGAGACATCAAGGGCCTTAATAGCAACAGCATTTACTGCTGGACTATGAGAAGGGAGAGGAATTTGTGAAAATGTTACTATTCTTGAAATTAAAATAGAGGTGCCAGCACGACCATCACTCCTATCATCCCGGAGGCATGCGTAGCCTGAAACCCTAAAATGAGACTCAGGCCTAAGCCATGTCTCCTGGATGGCAAGAATGAAGGGATGAAGTTTATTTATGAGGTAAATGAGTTCATTTTTTATTTCTAATGCTCCAACAATTCCATTGAAGAATTGGCGGGACTGCGAATGTTACGGGCTAAGGAGGAAAGCTGAGTAAGTTTTTGGTGTAAGCTAATAGGAAGTTCCGTGTCACTAAAACGGGAGATCATGTTAATTAGAATTGATATCATAAGTTCGCAGAAATTATCATTACTAGAGGAGTTGTTGTTATTTCCCAGTAGAGCACACCCATTAGGAAGGGAAGAATTAAGGATTCTCAACAATTGCCTGATGGGCTGCTATATCATATCCAGAATTTAATGATTGGCTGCAGGTACGTTGAGGGATAAAAATTGTTTTTTTATATGATGCAGTTTGTGAGAGCTGAGCCGAAGGGGTTGAAAGACTGTCAGTTAAAGTATAAGGGGTCTGTTGAGAACAATTACGAGGCTGGATTCTTGTTGTATCAGCAAAGGATCTTTTTGTCTGAGGGAATCTAGCTGAAGCTTCTAAATATGAAATATTTTCTTGTGACATAACAAGTTTAATAGATTTTTGCAGATGTTCGACAAGTCTTTTGGGGGGGGACAGCAAATAGGCAAGTGTTTTCGTAAGTAAACCTTCATGATTCTGTGCACATACAAAGCGGATACGGCACTGGGAAGTAACATGGCCAAATCTACAACATTTATGACACTGAATTAGTGGCAAAACATATTTTTCCACTGGCATTGAGGTGTAAAAACAGTAAATATGGGCAGGAAGTTTTTGTCCAGAAAAAGTTAGAACAACCGTCTGAGTTGGAACCCATGAAACGCTATTGCTGTCACTCACTGATCGTCTATTAAGTCGCCGTGCTTTAATTATAGAACCGTAGCCAGAGGGAATTTCTATAGCTGCTATTAATTCTTCTAGTGTCCACTCTATGGGAACTTGTCTAACTAGCCCCATGCGAGTGATACTATATGAGGGGATGGTTGCTTCATATTTAGAAATTTGGAGAGCTGGGTGATCGATAAAGGTGTTTGCATCTGTAGCTGTTTTAAACTCCACCGATACTCTATTTCGTCCAACTTTTTTGACTCCATCATGGACTATATTTTTAATATTGTTATGATACAGAAAGTGACCGAATTTA